CAAAGACTTTGTTATATGATTTACAGAATAAAAATGAATTACAAAGTAACTATAACAGGATGTAGTACAGAGCCTTGTGGTACACCAATAGTGGATGCTCTATTCTGAATAAACTACATTTATAGCTACACTCCGATATCTATCCTTTAGCCAACTGAATATCCACTAAACCATACAATTTAAAGTCTTAGCTTTTACAATTTATTTATCAGATCATTATGTGGAACCATATGAAAAGCACCACCCTAGCCCAGAACATTTGTGATCTATTCAGATTGTGCCTTGGGTTCAGTAAATTTGTTTTTTAAATGACCATTGATCCTACATTTTAGGAGAGAATTTTACTGCTGCAGATATTAAACTCATTGCCCTTCTTGTGGATAGGTACAATATTACACAGGGGAGGCTTCTCCTTCTATTGCTTGTCAAAGGAGAGTATCCATATGATTCTGAGGATGGGGAAATTGACGTGATCCTGTTGCTGTGTCCTGCATTAGCAAAGCTGAGGTTCATTTTTTTCACTGTTCCAACCATAAGCAAGGATAAAGTGAGATTCAAAATTATTCCTTTATTTCGGTATTTTATTTTAACTTTTCATGCGGTGTTAAAAACCCAAAAGTACAGAATTATTTACACATTCACAATACAACTTTACAAGATATCTACAGTTAAAGTACTCTAAAGAACAGGATAGAGCAACTTATTTCAATGGTTACTTTTTATGCTGGACGAATATAAAAAAGATACAATCTGATTTAACCTTTGCACAAATGGATAAAGCACTTTTATTAAATTATTTTTTTTTTTTTTCGCCTAAATTGAATGTTAGAAACATCAACATAAATACTGATAGAACTCACATTACGATCTACAAGGCAGTACAATGTTATCCAAGTTAACAGAGTTTGTGGTTTGGCTTCTTCAGGCTCTAGTGCTCACACCACAATCTTACACATGAAAACACATCAGCATTTTCACTTAAAAAAAATCCCGAATGACAACGTTGACATAGATTGCATAACTGGTAGTCATTAAATTAAAATATTGCCCCAAATCTAAAAATTAGAGTTCTCAGCTTTGGCCACAAGAAATACAGTTCAACATATTTTTATTTTTTTTTTTTTTTAATATAGATGGTTTTAAAAAAACATAATAGTGAAGTAATGAATTTTATTTCCCTTCTCTGTATAAAATATAATCTAGTTAGACATAAATTTAGCTGAAGGTTCCTTTTGAGTAACACTAAAACAAATGCAACCTCTGCTTTGAAAACAGTCTACGTTATGCTCGATAAACATGGTTTAAGAACATCTTTTGAGTTAAAAAAAAAGACATGTTAAACATCAGTGACAGAGAGGTACTTGTAAACACATTGCACAGTTCTAGCAGGTGCTGCATTAGCTTAGAAATCTTCAGAAATTTCAAACCTTGTTACTTACTATCCTGGAGCAGGAATTTTGTCATAAGTAGTGTTCCAACCACAACCTGTGTTCTAAGGCCGGGTCTTTCCTCCTATGTAGTTGCCAGTAGGGCTATATCTAGATATTTCTGACTCTCAAGATAAGGTGTGCTATACTGAACACACTTGACATACTATATTAATGTATTTTTATGAATAAGGCACAAAATGCACAGATTCAGGTACCCTCACACTCCTATTTACAAAATATAGTCATTACCGGCATGACCAAATAAATCACTCATACATGTTATATATGTGTTTTAATTGCACTACTTTTAAGCTTCCTATGTCATTCTGGGCAGTGTGACTGATTTACACGTTTGAGTTTTTTATGTAACCCAGTTATTGGCTTCTCCCTATCACAACTTACATTGCATCTTAAAGGCTGCACTGCTGTTTAAAGGCTTTAAATGCTTTGGTGGCCCTAATACATCCATTAAGTGTACAGAGCCAACCCAACATGAAGAAGCATTTAAGCAGGCCAATTGCCTGGCCCTGTATTAAATAAAGTGAACTGGATGATTGCAATAAATCTATAGCTAGAGATTACCAAACAACTAATCTCTTAGGAGGTTAGTGGCTGTCCTTCACTGGCCTTCTTTGAGGATCTCTCTTGGGAAACCATGGCACTATATTTGTTAATTGTCACGAGGCCTGCATTTTCTTCCTGCTGTTTGATGACGGTTGTCTGATTATACTCCAAGGCTACATATGCACCTATGCTTTTGATGTAAACAGGTGCATGGAACTTTTCCAAGCATTGTGATGCCACAGAAATGCAGATGTTAATAAGCAAGGCAGATGGTGTCATTACCACAATGCTTCAGATATGAAATGCACAAATAACCTTTGCATTGACAAAGGTCATGTGAACATTGTGGGTCAGACGGTTTTACTTTAAAATCTACCCATGTAAGCAACTTTTTAAAATCTTACAGGCACTCTGTCATACGTTTTTTAGTTGTTCTTTTTTTTTTTTTTAAACCTTAAATTTTATGGGTCTGCTTTCAAGGTCCCAGAAATTGCCTTTGAAAATGAAAGCTGATGTACAAGAAATGGCTTTAAGTAGCATTCTAAGACATACATAGGTGTATTAGAAATGCAAACAGATTAGGTATGGAGTGTATACTTCAGGCACATTTTCAGGCTTATTCACTAAAGCAGTGCAAAGAGCACTGATAATGTGCAAAGTGCAGCAAACTAAAGCAACCAATTCGACTTCACTTTACTGTAGTCAGCCTGCATAAAAAAAAATCATTTTGGTTGCTTCAGGTTACTGTGTTTTGCTCTTTGCCTTATTAAATAAACCCATTTATGTTAATGTTTCTAATAGACACATGAATAGACAGCACACATAAAAATACCAGCTCTTGCATATATATTTGTGACTCTTACCAGGTGATGCCTCATGAACTTATGTGTTTTAGGGCATGTTGGCAGCCACTTAAGAAAAAGTCCGAGGTCTATCTACATGGGACGGCTGAGTGCCCCACCATCCAATTCTTATAGGGTTTATTGAACAAAATTGTTTTGCTGAGCACACTGCCAACCATCTGTACAAGGGCATGTCCTATTCAGATGCTTTACATTGTGCTGAGCACAGCCCAAGCTAGGTAGGACTCAGATGGCATCTTAAAAGGCTGATTACATGAGCCATACCAATTTTACTAGGGGGAAATCTGACCTGATCTATGGCTAAAAACATCATTTAAAAAATACAGACAATTTATTAAGTTAATATTTTTACCACTTCTGCTCTTTTAAAACAACTTGTGACATACATACAAATTACATTTTTTTTCTCTATCAAAGAAATGCAAGTACTGCTTCAATAGAACTATTAGTGCAGGTCAGTTTTTAAAACAGTAGCGGAACTACATTAGGATTTATAACTAAAATTAGGTTTTGCCTCCTCTATTGTAAAACAAAGAAACCAACCCCCCCCCCCCCCCCAACTGCCATACACTGCCTGGACATATCTGTAAAAGTGTAAGCCCCCCTTTTCTTTTCCTTAGAAGTCTCACCCCTCTGTGAGCAAAATTATGACAAACTTGCTAAAAACAAAATGTTCCTTATTATGTCAGAATAAAATAAAACTTTGTATGTTATAACTAAAAGAAGTTTTGTAGCAAATGGAATGAATATAGTTAGCTTGCCCATTGAAATTTTGACCACACCACGCATGGATTTAGGAGGGCAAATAATTATGGGAGCATTGTGACAATATAGAAGTCACTGCTTTTATGTATTGAATATACAAGCTCTATCAAAAGGTCTTCAGAGTTTAAAGCCACTTCAAAAACAGGTCAAGTCTTATGTAATCCTCATAGTGATCAGTTAACAATTTTTATGTCTTTCAATGCTATTTTATGTTTCTTGTAACAAAATGTCCTTTTTTTGTTTTGAAAAAAAAAACAAAACAAAAGTAAGTGCACATTTTTTTTACAAGGTCCCTTGCAATCCCTTCAGACTCAACATTTTATGTCCTGCTATATAACTAGTAGTTCCATTTAAGGAGGCTTGCATTTTCATTGATGGAAGCCAAGTACAAAAAAGATTCACAAGTAACCTAGCCATTGTGAGTTTCCTTCAAAACCAGCTTTAATCAATGGGATTCAGTTCACCATGGCTAGGTATACCAACCTGCTAACTGATGCCAAGAGGAAACAAGCATGAATATACATAAATGTAGATTCTCCCCAGCATGTCCAGTGAATTACACAATATTTTTAATAGCAGCATAACAGTTCTAAGAAATCTTTACATTCTTGCACGAGGTACCTTGCTCAGCCAAGTCAATTATCTGGAAGGTAGGGGGGATACAGATGTTAACCCTCAGCTGTTCTCCCAGTAAAATACTGGTGGAAAGAAATGAACTTTTTGTCCAGTCATGCTCATTGTAAACAGTTGCACAGCATAGAAATTGCAATGAGAATCCTTACGTGCACATGTATGTGTGTATGAGAGACAAACACACACACATACTAAACAAGTACACGTCAAGAGTATTTACGGCATACAGAAATGCTACACATGACCAATGATATGTATTGGACTTTATATAATAAAAGGTACATCAACTGAAAATGCAAACGTTAACCGAGACACTTTTCTTTTGACTCTTGTGCAAGAGGCAAGGTGAATGCATACATATTGATATGTTCACATTTAATGGGATGACTACACACAGCGGCAGTTTGAAATGAAAGCCCGTTTTTTTGTTTCAAGTATATTTAAATTCTTAGTACGGTGTCAGGTTTTTGTAATTGCAAGGTAGCCCCAACAGTGCTACAAGTCCACTTACTGTATCTCCAAACAAAAGAATCAAAATGACCAGCACTTTCCTTTGTTTTGTTCATTATAAGCATAGTTTGCAGTTCCCATGTCTTGGCAAAACCCATTGTTACCAAACTAAAGACCATTTCTTTGGTCTCTCATGTGGGGACTGGTTCAGCAAGCAAGCTTCTCTCTGCCTTAAAGGTTCTTTTTACAACACAATGTGTTATAACCATACACATTTTAAACAGGATGATAGGCATCAGTAGCTATATTTATTTAAGTGTCTAACTGTTGTAGTTTGTGGGGCAAATGAGGGTTTTGGTGGCACATCAGGCTTTATGGAAGTTGTCCTCTTTATTCCCATACGAGGGAGAGTTCCATGACCTGTATAGCTGCTTTGCCGTGATAAGGAAGTCTGTTGATGAACTATAACAGGTGTTCCTTGCATGTAGTCCATCCTTGGGTTAGGACTTGGAGGCATATATCCACCTCTATTAACACTAGGTTGTCTGGAAATCAAGACACCATTTGGTGAGTTCATAGTTTTGGGCATAGCAGATATGGAATGCCTCTGGGAAGAGTTTTTATGGTAACTTCTTTGTGATTCTAAAGATGAGATTTGTCCATTTGGGGTAGAAGGCACATCCACCCGTTTTGTTGGGCTATTTCGTGGAAGAGTTGAAGAGGGGGAGTACAAGGATGCCTCCCTATTTGGAACTTTAGGTGGAATTTCAGACATATTTCCCATAGTGTCAAGCATTAGTGTCTGATGTGGAGTCTGGTGGGTATTCTGATGAGCTACTTGTATATCTGCCATTATAGCTTTGGGATTCCCTGCAGATTCATTCAGATGCTTTAGAAAGTCATTCAGCGTATTTCTGGAATCCACAGAACGCCGCTCTCTTTTACTTGGCTGTTTAACTAAAGAATGTTCAATGTTATGAAGCTTTTTGTCTGATTTGTGTGCATTGGAATTAGAAAAAGAAGTATTGTAATCATGGGTGGCATTTGGAAGAACAACTGCACTTGGGATTTGTCCATGAGCAAGAGGAGAGTGAGGAGGAGGGCTTGAAGGGAAAAACTGTGGACTTTTAAGAGGGGTTTCTTTACGTGAAATATTTAAATTATTTTGAGCTTTTTCCCACTGGTTTTTGATTGGCTGTAAGCTCTTTTGTTGAAGCACTGGTGTAGATTCAGGTGTTGGGAGTGCAGCTAGTTCAGGTGGCTGTCCTTGAACATCCATCATGATGACCTTGGTTTCACCATTAGGTGGCAGTTCCTTTCTACTAGTAAGTATATTAGTATAATGTTTAGGTGAATCGATGCTTTGTTGGTATTCCTTCACAGGGCTGTCAAACAAACCATTAAGTTTGGCAAAGCTTCCACTGGAATCAGTACAGGATTGGGCAGACTCAGCATCCTTATGTATTTTTCTGGTTTTTCGTGCAAACATTTCCCGGTAGCAGTAGACAACAACTCCAGCAATGAAAGCTCCAAGAACAAATGCGGCCAAGACGCAAGTGATCAGAACATTCATATGCACCATTTGATTTGATTCTCCCGAGTGTACTTCCCACCTTACACCTGTACAAAAAAAAAAAAAAACAGATGCCAATTTTCAAGACATATCTTTGCAACTCAGAAAAAGTGATGGGCCTTCAAAATAGTGACAGCTCATTAAATGTGTTTATCTAAATAAGATCATTTCCATTCTGTTCTCAGTCTCCCTTCTATTAAATCCTTGTATCAGTCAGGATGGAAAACAACTTGGAAAGGATAAATGATCAACTTAAAAATAAAATGAAGTGACAGCTACAACATACATATGGGCAATTACTGCTTGTGATAAGTATGGGGTGTTTACTGCAATATCGTATAAGAGGGAGTTTAACATTTGCTTGGTTGAAATTCCTTTGAGTTTGTTTTCCATTTGCAAAATATGCAAAGGTATTTTAGGAAACGCTATCATTTTGAGTTTTGTCCTTTACAAATTGTGCTTGTACAGAACCTTTTCATGGCAAATTTCTGGGCGATTTGGATTGCAATTTGCTCTGCTTTCCTGTGTTAGGAAACCTGTGCTCTGAGCAATGTTTATTTATGCTAATAAGATCTTTACAGCTGTGATACAATTACACAGAGTCAAGGTCAGAAAAAGCACTGCACAATCACATAATTTTGACGGAAATCAGAAGGTAAAAAGAAAAAGTTTTTTTCTTTGAGGCGTTTAGCAAAAAATGGTACAACATGCACAATTATGAATGTATTAGAAATGTACCCACAGTAATGTTTTATGTGGTATCACACCTCTCATACTAGATATTTATTACAGAAAATATTGGTCAAGTCTTTTCTTCACAGAACTCACCTGAGGCCATGGCTCCGGTGTATTTCTGGGAATTCAGAGAAAGTCCAAGAAGCCCATTTAGGCATATGAACTTGTGCACCTCATGTTACCAAAGAAGACCTTCTACTTAGGTGACTGGAAGAGGTTAGGGAATATGTAGCAGCTGCCAGGAAAAGGTATTCAGTGGTAACCTGTCTATGCAAAGACTACTGTTTTATGTTTAGACTGCGTCTGTTTCCCAGAACTGCTAGTTATGTGGTGTGTGTATATATGTGTGCTTGTGCCTGTTCTTTTGACTGATATCCTTTATGTGACGTTAGTGAAGGGCTGCCATTCCATTAATTAGCTCAAGAGTGAGCAGCCAAATAACATTTAAAAGTAATGTATATTCTGCTTATTGAAAACATGACAGATCTAAACACTTGAACTTGTTGTCAATGCACTGGATCATCAAGTGGAAAAAATTGTCACAAAATGATATCATTCATTTCCATGTGTAATATGCAACTGGACTGTCTGCCAGACTACATAGATAACATCAATAAGGATTTGACAAGATCACTAACATTATCTCGAAGAATCACTAACTTGTATGAATAAAGAACACTGCATTAGCAGGCCAGAAGAAAAGAACCTGAGAAATATTTGAGAAACACATCTGGAATTTCAGATTTATACATTGGTTAATCTTCTAAACATGTTAAAAATGACCAAGAGTGATTTATAGGCAGCTATATGACCCTAAATAAATACAATATGCTTTATACAGCTGGCTTAGAAGGAACAATGTTAATTGCTTGTCACTATCACAAAGGTAAGTCCAGCAACCACAGACATACAAGAAGTTAAACTGCTCATACGACGATAAATTGAAGATAAATCCTTTAAACCCAGCTGGTTAGAACAGCTCCTACCTGAGTACAATACTTAATTCTGCTATAATAGTGTTTAGATGAAGAATTAGTACTAGAACCACAGAGAAAGCTGGATTCTGTTAGTGGGAAGGCCTTTGAACATTTAGCAAGAAATGCTCCGGGTTATCAAGATTTGTTGGCAGTGTAGAAAGAAAAAACAAAACATGCACACATAAATTAGAACTGAAGAATTAATTAAAAAGTAAACAGAAAAAGCAATGCAAATAGTTCAGAATTTAAAAGATAAAAAAAAAACTTAAACAAGGCACTAAAAAGAATTAATGAAGTAATGCAAACCTATACTAGACCTATTTGCACTGAGTATGAATAAGAGGCACACTCAATGTTTTTTTTTTATCATTTAAAATTTTTCAGAATGTATTATTTCCTTTGACTTAACCTCATGTCTACCTCATATAACAAATTACAGTGGCTAGTCAAATGTAATGCCCCAATAATTGCAAGAAACGCTATATTTTGAAATGGCTAGAATATTGGGTCATATCAGCCTGTGGCTCAATAATTGGTTTACTAAAGGGATGTCAACCATTAAAAGCCATAGGCTCCCATAATCAGTGCTGTATTCATTTGAAAAAAAGGCATCCTTGCTGCCTTTTGAAACATGAATAGTTGTGGGTCTGCGCAATGAACTCCTGCTTCTCATTAGAGTTAAGAAAACGATTTTAAATTGAGTCTCTTCAACTTACTAGACTACTTATTAAACTGCTGATGCAAATTCTAAATCAACGAACTTCACATATTTGGACCGTTTTTTGATTCTATGATACAACCATCTGTAGCTTCCTTTGATTCCATTTAAAAAATAAGATACTGCATGGATGGAAAACAGGAAACTAAAAATATTGTGAGCTAATTCTGAAATTTTAGAAAATCATCATCCATTTTAAAAAGAATCATTTTGATATGGTGCATATATTACACCATGTCATAAACTCAATAGCTATGTGATGTTACTCGGTAAAACAAAATAGCAAATAATGATACATAATAAAACAAAATAGAAAAAAAAATGATGACATGTAGTAATAAGAAACGCAAAAAAACTTAAATGCATTGACAAATGAATGCATTCAACATAAAAGAAGCTAAAAGAAAAATAAAGATACACTGCCATGTCTGAGTGGAGACCTATCATACAATCCTTACAGCAATTACATTCATCACTCTACAGTACATTGTCCATGTTTTAGACATATAGTAAGCTGACATCATGATTAGCCCATCTAAAGTGATATTTTTTTGTTTAAAAGCCAGCAAAGAAAATAGAATATGGTCATGTACAGTAGTGATACATAAATGTAATCTGTAGGCGGGCAAGTCTCCACTCAGTCTACAACATTCCCCTTGAAGGCCTTACCATTTGGGACACCTGTTAATGTATCAGTATAATCAGAGGAGTTTGGGTCATCTTCTTGGACAAATTTCCGAGCGCCAGTCATTCTGGGTTTCCAGGAACCAATCACTTTAGGGAGAATGACTGGACTACTTGTCACTGTGGTTACAGAAGTGGTAGGAACTTCAATGTCTGTGGTAGCAAACAAATGTTTATTAAGTTGTATTCTGAAAAACATCTCTATATATCTATCTATTCTAATGTTATGTTACATAAGGTTTAAAGGTGTTATCCACCTTCAGCAAAAAAGAAGACAATGTAGAGAAGATCTGTTAAGATAAAAAAATCCTACAACAACTGCAGTATAGTGTTTTAGGGTAGGGTTAGCCTGCCTCCCATCTATCATCTGATTGGACACTGTTGCAGGTAAACTGTAACATATCTAGGTATCCAGCGTCTTTGGCTTAGAGGAAAGAAGAAACATCCACTGCAGAATACTGAGGCAGGAATTAACAATCGTTCCTTGAGCCAAAAAGAACTCAGCAGCTATGAATGCTCTAGCGGCCCCCAAAGTAATACTGACCAATTGAGGTCTTAGGTTGGTAACTTCCACCACTAGCCATTAGATATTTTCCCTTCATTCTAAAAGTGTAAACTAAACATAATATTAGAGTATTTTTTAACATAAACCATGAGACTTCGACATATACTCTTAGACTTTAACTGGTTACACTTTTACATAACTAAAACAGGACATAACACCAAGTAATACACGTTTTAGTAAAAACTACAGTCAAATATAAAGATGTAGTATGAATAATGTGACCATCATCTATACCAATAGATGAAAAACCCATTCTGACAAATGTATGAAGATCTATAATGAAAGCTGGCTGGCTTTCATGCTGTGAAAATGTCACATACTAATTAGACTTTTAATAAAAGATTTGACGCATCCATCAATAAATGGGCAATTGGGTAACATGCGGCCACACATAGGTGAATTAATTATCTTAAAAAAAAATACAAACAAAAAGGACAGATATCCATCCTTGCAATTAGTGAGTGCATGAAGTTGAAGCACAAAAATGAGGCCAACTGCAAAAGGAAGGGAGGAAAGGTAGGGTAGGGTGGGGCATAAGAGCAGAAAATGCTGAACCAAAAGAAAAGGCAGTTAATTTTAGATAAAATTAATAAAACTAACCAGATGTTGGATCGCCAAATATTTTGTAATCTGGTGTAGTTGTAGTAGGCAATTTTTCTAAAATTAAAGGAACAGGTCATCAGTAAAAAGAAATTAAAGGAAACAAAAAAGTTATATAAGTTTTCAACAAAAAAGCAAAAAAATAAAATTCAATTTCTTTTTTGGTATGTCCTTAAGCAGTTGTACATAGCCCAAAAATAATATACAAAGAAAAAAAAAAAGAAAAAAAAAAAAAAACACATTTCACATGTTGTTTTCATCAACTGCAAGACAGCTAAGCCCATGAAAAAAATAAGTTAAGATTGAAAGGTGGTATGCGCATTATGAGTGCACTCTGTATTCTACTCTACAAAGCACAAATTAAAAGGCTCTAATGAGATTAGTAAAGGCCTGGTCCTTACCATGGCAGTCTCCGAGCTGTGCCGTGTTACCATGCTCCACATCCTGTTCATAACCAAAACTGCGTAATGAAAAAAAAAAAAACCCAAAAAACATTAGATTAACTGCGAATACTACTGCAGAATAATAAGCAGCGCTCTGTTTTACACATATAAAGAAAAAAATACATCTGAACAGCAAGTTCCAACAAGAGAAAATGTATTGTGTATACATAGAAAGCCAATTTATGCTTGTTTGTACAGGAGAATTGTTCCGTGATAATTAATAGGATTCTCCAGAGGAGCAATACTTCACCTCCCAACTGGATTCAAAGCAGATATTACAATCCTCGCAAGGATTAATGTTTTCTGTCTCCTAAGTATTACGTTGGAAATACCAAATAAAATACACAGTAATTTCTGTCACTAAACAAAAATTATTTTATTCTCACTGAAGTCATACTGGTAGAAAGAAGAAATGCATAACCTTAATAAAACAGTTTAGAACCTCTAGTAAACTGAAGTCTATCAGCACGTTTAGCAGTTAGAGCGTGATTACACTTACAACATGCCAGGCTTGACTCTGCCACAGGTTTCATGATTTAGCCACCCACAATAAGGATCTCTTGAACTGATGCAAGACCTGTAGATTAGTGAGAAAGCATTTGTCAGGCACATTTATGCTCTGTAATGAACAGCAACTTGCAATTGCTCAAATACAATAACCATACATACTTTTTGCATGAGCCATACCGCTCACAGCGGCTAAGAGGCAGACGGACAATGCATCCTGAAAAGGCTACAAATAAGGCGTGGTGGTCTTTATCCATTTGCAGGGACAAGACCTTTCGGTCCTCGTCATTGTCTCCATAACATCTGTAGGAGTAAAATGGATAAAAATGCAGTTATTGAAGCCATTAATCTACATACACAAGGCTACAACCTTAGGTTCAAATGTGCATGTATTAAAAAAAAAAAAAAAAAAAACAACTAAATAGAAATAAATTGAGCTTTTATTCATAAAAGCAGTTATAATGCCTTAAACGTGTCTCCTATTCACCCACACTGCTCTGAGAACATTAAATAGAAACTGGTTGCTGTGACCTAGTATGCTAGGTTCTGTATGTCATAGCAACAAATGATAAATCAGCTTTTTTTATGATCTAATGAGTACTTACAATTTCAGCTTACTATCTTTACTATTCCAGGTTTATGTTTAATAAGCATTTTTACGTTAAAAGCACAATTTTCTTATTGCCAAAAGAAGTGAGCAGATTGAAAATGTGCATTTGTATAGAAGAGCAACTTGCAAGCGAAATCAATACATTTGTTTTGTACAAGGTAATGCTTACTTTGCACGGTTGTAAGCATCAATTTCTTCCAGTAATACACTGTCATTCAGAGAAAATGGATTAGTCTTGGCCAAGATCTTTAGTACAATCCCAGCTTCTGAGCCCACAAATATAACTGTGTAGTTAAGATAGGGGCCAGCGAGGTGGTCAACTGCAACAGCTGTCAATCTGTACCTGAAATAAATAGAAGGGAATGATGAAATCAATTTATTCATACTCTTGTGACAAATTATGGCAATGCAGTGGATTTTCATGACTTATCATAATATGTATGTTTTAACATGCATAGGGAGTTCTGGCAGTTTGGGTGTGGACTGTGCTTATACACATTGCTAGTGGGCTATCTGTATCTATACACAGGGGATCTCATAGTTTAAAGGGAGTCAGTGCTTTTCCCATTCATGCCAAAATCACAGGTTAGTTTAGTAGCTGAGCCACAAAATTGCTGCTACCTAGCTACTACAACCCTGTTTGCCCCCTAGAGCTCTACGAAACACCCAACAGGTATAGCCAGGATAATTGGGTGGTGAAGAAAGCAAGTAATGAACCCTGGAAGAGCTTGGCTGTGAAAGAATCCTTTGCTTTTTCCCTAATAATGAAAAGTACAGGTTCTTTTTAAGTGCTACAGAAAAATGTAATTTGACTTTTCTTTAAGCACTATAAAAGGAGAGCAGAAAGAGCAAGAAAATGCTCTCTACCCATCTTTGTTTTCAATCTTCCAGAGTAAGCATATTTCAAAATGACATAATGTTGTTAGATATATACATACACAATCCTGGTCTAAAACTGAACATAAATTCCCAACCAGCCCAGTTATATGATAACCATGCAGCGATTTGGCCTTTGTGCATACACATATAGTCAGAAAACCACTCTTGTATAATTATCTTTAGCCAGGGGCTGAAGCCAACCTTTTCAGAAGTAATATGGATTTCAGATTTTTTCTGAGCTATATTTTGTTAAAATAATACAATAAGTTCTTTGAAAGGATTTTTTTTTAAATGGACGGAAATATAATTATTTTTGACCCAGCTTAGCCAGATATGCTCAGACTGAAAGCCGGGGGCCTATAAAATGTTAATGGTTCACAAACTTGTTGATTAGAGACACTGGGCTTTAAAGTTGTGAAATTGCTAAAGTGTGAGCAAAGGCCTTTTCATAGGCGAATCAAAAATTAGGGTTTTTGCCAAAAGCCCAATTTTTTGTGAATTTTATTTAATTATAACTAGCAAACCTTTTTTTTTTTTAATTTGGGTAGAGTGTTGAGGGGATAGGACCACTGTCGGGTTTCTATTGTGGTCTCTGTCTTTGCTAGGGAAATTAACTCTCCAGCCATCCTGATCACCAATATCACTGGGAGTAAAAGCAATGTTAGATCTAAAATTTTGCCACCACAACAGATTAAGGGAAATTTTTCCAAAGTAGATTCTTAGACAACTGTCTAAGAGGGAATATACCTCACATTGGAAGGATTTTTTTCTATTCCTGGTCAGTCTACAGACAGGAAGTGAAGAGAAATTTCCCTAAGAGACATATATGAAATAAACGGACAATGGTTTTAACCCTCCCCAACCTTATCGCCTACAAAAAAGTCTTGCCATTTAGATATACCTTAAGAAATAATTTCTGCTGAAAACTCCTAAAAGTATACAGTATGTCAAGGCAAAATTAAAAACAATAAATAAATATTGTGTACATTTCTGGAATACATGAAAATTTCCCCTACGTTTTCTCTTTAAACTTGCTGGAAGTACAGAAAAATAACTGTTGATGTGTCAGAAATAAAGTGTGCTTCTAAAGCTCTGAACTCCTAAGCACGTGGGGTCAACCCTAAGCAAATACTATTTTAGGAACAAAGGAAACACCAACGGAGTCCTATGCAATATCTTGTCCATTAGAACATGCTTCCTAAACCTTAATGTCACTTCAAAAAAAAAAACTATTGTTACCACCTAGCCATGGTCATGAAAAGATGTTGGGACATCATGCAATAGAAAAGTGTACAATTTTATTACTAACTAAAGTTAATTAAAAAAATCACAGTATAAAAAGCAAAAACAAAAAGGACCCTTCACCCTACACAATTAAAAATGGCAACAAACATCAGCCTTGATTCAGACCAATCATACACAGCAAAATTAATTCAAAGTCTGTTTAACAATCTACAAACACCCTCCCCCCATAAAAATAAACCACCAACAGGTTCTCAAAAAGGTTTAAAATATTGGGAAGTCCAAAGTCTTTCACAATGTTATAATACCTGGATGATGCCACCTGTATAACCACAAATTAGAGTATTAGTAGTAGCACACCCACTGCAATATAGAGCCAGGCTGCCACTATGATCTTCACTTAAAAAAGAACCCCAGATATTAGCCAGTATTGCCTGTTACCTGCTAGCATCATTCTTAATACTACAGTGATGTTAGGCAGTCCTACGTATTTCTGACAGATTACAAAGAACACAGACCTTTCCTCTTAGCACAGGAAGCTACCGCCATATCATCAAGATTTCTAGCAAACTCATCCAGTATTTTTTTACACATAATAAACAGATATAACAAAACATTTTCAAACTGCATATTTAGCCTACTTGACTTTCGTAAATCAACCCCTGTGAGTCTTAATTGTGTGTGTTTTTTTATATTCTACATTACATCTAATAATTCTGGCAAGTCTAGACCATCATGATGGCATGCCTTTTTAACTTTAATCTGTGGACCGAGTACTGAGCTTAGCAATACACTGCAATGTAATGTGTCCCTCTATATTAGTTAAATGCACCATCTAAATATTGATGTATGAAAATAATGGATAGTGTCTTCAGGGGAAAAGTAGTAAATCAAATGTGGGGCTTTTTGATAAATAAGCTCAACCCATTTTCAGATTCTGGTCATCTTCATGCTTTAAAAAAAATGCTCTCCATCTAGAATGAAGTTGATATTGGATATCATACCTGACACGGGTTTTTGTGAACCAAGGCTCTTCACTTAAAGAAGGGACTGCAGAGTCCATCAAGGGATGGGACTTGATAAAAGCCAGAGTTTCATCTGGAAATTCAGTGGAAGACCTATAACCTTCAGCAAGGCCATGTCTTGCACAGCAACCAGGCCTAAAACAAGGAGAAAATACAGCCTCAATAAAACATTCAACACAATTCTTCATGACTTTAAAAGCTAATGCTTCATTAATTCACTAAATGAACACGCCTGTATTTAAGTAAATGTTTTTTTTTTTTACTTCAAGCAACCCTGATACCTTGGTTTTGGTACTTTGTCTTCAGGTACAGCTGTCCAAACAGAGTCTGGAGTCTTTTGTTCTTTAAATCTTCCTCTGAATGCCTTCTCGATGTCATCCATCGTAAAAGCGCAAACTGCTGAACCTGGTATACTAAACAGAAAAAAAAGAGAGAAAATAATCTTTCTGGTGTTCGCAATACAATAGAAGCAATTGTAAAGCCAAGACGAAAGTGAAGGTCTCCATTTGATGTCAGATTATTCCTCTCTTTACCTATTAAGCTGTGTAGTAAACACTCCGACAACAGTGGGAATTCCATTGATTTCTATTATGTCAGTTATAGACTGCAGAACATCAAAGTAGAAGAAAGAATCCCCTGGAACAGAGCAGTTGAGTCTTGCCTTTACGAATGATGTCCAGTGTTTCTCCAGTACCCTCTGTGATCCTCCTAGGTCATTTTTACATATCCTGGCTACACGAGAATGTACAGCCTGTAAATAAAAACAAAATGAAAAAAACATCAACTATTAGAAAATAGAGGTGGCCATCACTAAGAAAAAGCTGCTAAAAGGATCCTGAATAAGACTTTAAAACATAAAAATAGTAAAGATTGTAGCTCTAGTAACAGCAACCTCTTACTATACTGAAACCACTGGACCTGCTTATAAAAAAACTGGATTGTCTAAAAAAGTAGATAACCGCCACTATTGGGAGTATTCAAACATTACGGTCTTATTCTGTGAAAATTAAAGAGCTAATCTAATTGGTCACTATGAGCAAGTTCCCCATTTCTGTGGAGAATGCACACTGAAGATGTGCGAGTTTACATCCATATCTGTGTTCAAAATGTTAAATCATATATTCATTTCCACATTGTTGTTCAATTATTTCTAATTTATTCCTATTAATCTGAAAAATCTTAGTTACATAGTTAGTCTGGCTGAAAAAAGACAAAAGTCCATCCAATTCAACCATTAAATAAATAAATAAAAAAAATGTGTAAACTAATTTTGTGAAGTTCCCCACACCATTTACTTCCTTGAATTTTGTGACTCATATTCACTATGCCCTGTGAGTAGCACTGCTGGGTCACAGAATTCTCAGAGCCTGCCTTCTGAAGCACAATGGTGTTGAGAGGAGGAGTTTCAGAAGGTGGAGTCAGTACAATAATCACTGCTTGAAGACAGCAAGGTACCGTAGGATATGTAATCCTTAGAAATAGAAAGCAAACAGCAGAAGTTGCAAAGCATGCAGGGAACGCCTGGAGTTGTGGAAAGAGATGGCCCAGAGACAGGCAGCACTCACAACATGAAACATTTTTCAAGTAAAATTATTTTGAATTGCAAGAAATAACTACTGTTTTTACTGTTATTACAATGTTCTAAAACAAGAGTATTCTGTGACCACAGGTTTCCTTTAAAATTTCTTTGAAAACCAACTACTCCTTTTCATTGCATTTTTATGGTAGATGAGCTTTGTTGAAAGTGGCTAAATGACAACCAACGTGACTTTTTTTAAAAAAATGCACAGTGCAAAAACACATTGGTTTTGAAAACAGTGATACAGAACTCTACTTGTGCTTTAGGTGCAAGAAAATGTTTACAAGACCACTACTAGAAGAACGAAAATCCCTTTTTGGTCTTGTGTAGCAAGTCTTTTTTTATGAACCCCGTGAAGTGAATACTATTTAAATAAGGCTTTTACTGCCAAAACAACAGATAATAAAGACATATGAAAGCCCTTCTCTTCCCAGTTTATAAACATTTGCACTTGTTGGGTTAAGGCAAGAGCTCTAGTTTATCTGAATTAGTTACTGAAAGAAAACAGACAGTATTTAACTGCAGCTTGATGTCCATTTTAATGCGCCACTGAGCACAGCCCGTAACATTCACGCAGATCCCCCACCTTTTGTGAAGTCTTTAATTAACCATGCGTAAATGGTTAAATAATTTACAGTGGAATGTCTATAATGCAGCCAAAGTATCATAAACTGCATTTGTGTCATTTAAATATTTAACATTTGGGAGGCACAATGGAACCTCTGTTGAAATATAAACATATTTATACATTTAATCCATGCCAAAAAAAAAAAGCGGTGTCCTAATCAGGGTTACACAGTATCCTTACAGACATTTTGCTCTTGGAAAAATGCATGTATGTATTATTCTGAATATTATTTACTTTACTCTGTTCTGACTTTGCAAACTCTAATGCACCTGGGCCATACAATGTACATCAGTCTTTTTAGGTCATGTAAAGTCCAGCTTTGAAGATTAATTAGAGAAGAGATTGAAGCAAATATCACTTTAACAGAAACTGTGGTTAAGAAGCAGATCAAAATGAACAGCCCCGGGGCTAATGGATATTTTCATAATAGCGGGAGATGTATCAAGTGCTGGCTTGTTGTAAGAAGCAGGCCAGATTTTTAGTATTTGTAAACGGAAAGGCAGCTTAACCTTGAAACACAGAAATTATTTTTTTGCTCAACTGTGTCTTGTAGAAGTGAATGCCCAAATGTGTGTCATAGGCTAGATACCATACTATATTGCTTCTTCATACAGAGTTTGCACTCATTGATGCTCTGTGGGTAATTCTGTCATCATATTGGACCATAGCCATTCATAATATAGCCATAACAATATCACAACCCATACCCTAAACTACTGTAATGCGAGGATCAGCTGGGGATCTGATACAAGGATAGAAAACAAATACCAATAAATGTATAACTACATGAATCTCTATTTACTGTATATCAATCTTTTATAATCCCCGTGCACGGCAAGACTGAAAAGGGCAGCAACAAAATAGTGAGCCAATATTGCCGATGTAACTAGTAATAATCCCATTAGTGTACTGCTCTCTTTATTGTCAAGTCATAGACGAGGGCAGTGTTTCCCAACCTTTTTTCAGTCAAGGCACCCTTTAAAATGATGCACAATCTTGAGGCACCCCATTTTAAAATGTAAAAAGCTAAACTAATAAATGTACATATTGCAGGAGCATCCACACATGTGGGCCACCCAACATTAGACACGATTTATTCCTTCACCTTTGCAAACCAGTACTGATTTCCATTCTGACATTTCTCTTCTCCAACAGTTTATTTCCTTCTTTCTGGTATTGTGACCCAGTGCTGACAGAAAGGGGCAGGGGAGATATAAACAAAGATGCTGTGCAGGCACTCAGTGTCCTCCATATCAATCTATGATGTCATTGGTTGGTAGAATGCCAGTGGTTGGCCACCACAGTGCCCAAGGTTGTAATGCTGTACAATAAAAACCTGTGGATTTGTGTCATTAAAAAAAGCTGGGCTTGTTCACAATTTTAGGGCAGTTTGTTGCAGTTTTTTAGGAATTTTGCTAAGGCACCCCTAAAGAACACTGAAGGTACTTTGGTTGAAAAAAAAGCTGGGTTGGGGTATGCTCAGAGCAAGCTTTGTTGATTAATTGCAAGGTTTCCTGCAGAGGGGTTCAGAACCTACATTGTTCTGCCTAGATTATAAGACTATGTGTATTATTCCCATTGCACACATTTCTGGAAATGGCATGAAGTAAATGGGTGCTTCAGCAACTTCCAGCCAATAGCATAAATTAAAGTACTGTATGTATCACCAGAACACCAACAATTACTGTGAAGCGAAAACAAACAAAGAGCGCACCAACCTTGCGCATTACCTCAGTAAGCCAAAATGTATTAATTACAGAATAATACTCACAAATGCTGAAGTATATCATGCATGTAAGTCCTCAAAGGGACTAAGGATAAAAGCAGCCTGCGCAAGTCCCATCAGAGAAGTGGACACTCAGGGAACAGCTGACGCGTTTCGAAGGACAAACCTTCTTCATCAGAGCTGTGATGAGTTATTCTGTAATTAATAAATTTTGGCTTACTGAGGTAATGCGCAAGGTTGGTGCGCTCTTTGTTTGTTTTCCCTTCACAGTATTGGTCGGACTTCCCCAGCCTTTTTTGGAGCTGCACAACCCCATTTGCACTGGTGGTAGAAAACTTCCAAGTCCTGACTCCATCTACCTACCCCGTGTTGGGTCATAGAGCACAAGAGAGTTCGTTTTCTTTCCACCAAGAATCACTGAAATAATGTCCAGGTGTTTATTCGATGATCACATCCTGATGAAGGGGTCCTGCGTTGCCCCGTAGTGGTGCACTTTACCACTGTGATATGACCACTAAATAAACTTTTGGACATTATTTAAATTATCTTTGGTGTGCTGGCAATATATACCTTAGACGACAAGACTGGTGTAAGAGAATTTCAATTACTCTGCAGGAAAAAACAGTTCAGCTACCTGTGTATAAACTGTGTGTTTAGATGTCTGCCTGAAGTTTGTCTTTAAAATGTACGAGAATATAATAACATAAAAAATATACAGTATGAGATTCCCTTGAATGCTACAATTTTAAATCACTGGAACACCCACAACTCAATGCTTACCTTGCCCAAATTATTATGCTCCACAGCAATCTCCCGAAAGAAGAAGTAAATGTAACTGCCGTACTCTATCGCATGCAGAAAATGTGGCTCTGGAGAGGCAGGGAGACAGAAATATGTATATTATCTAAATCACTTAAGAAAACCAAAAATGCATCTTGAATTAAAAAAAGTTAACATAAGATTATATATTGCTGACCCAAGGTAGAAACATAGGTGGGTTCCAGCCTAATGATTTTGCAGCCTTTAATGCTGTCTAATGGAGTGTAAAGGGCCTCAAAGGATTTACATTACAGCACTTTTTTTTTTGTTAACGATGGAATCAATCATGAACCATTTTGCCAACGAGGAAAAATATGCATTTAGAGTAAAGGCCTTGATGTATCAGCATGCAACATTTAGTTTCATCATACAGCTGTGTCATGCCTAAAAGGATCCAGGGTAGTTAATATGCATCGTATTTCTCAGAAATACTATTAAACTGAGTCACGCTTCATTCCCATATCAAGTAGGTGTCTGATCTCTATGTCATTAATAACTGCCAGGTCTTGAGTACCTTTTAGCCACTTGGAGTCATATTTAATTGTCCTCAGAGCAAATCCATCCCCCATGCTCCGATAGATCACGGCGTCACTGGCTTGGAAGTCTGCCATGGTAGCCGAGTATAACTTCCCATCTAAGAGAAAGAGAGAGAGCAAAACTCCTGGTGAAATGAGCGGGTTGAAAATAGAGCACTGTAGTGAACAATTAATTATCTTCAATGAATGAAATACATAAAGCATGTTCCTGACCCATCTACAATTAATACTTGAACCTGGATTGTATACAAAGAAAAAAGTACATTGTTCAGTAGAAATAGAACTACAAAAACATAATGGTAGCATTATTATATAAGTCATGAATACAAAAAAGTGGGGCTTTTGACAAAAAAAGCTCGGCAAAGTAAGGCTTAAGTAATTTACTGTTTACATTTACTTAACAACATGGTACAGCATTGGCTACCCATAACAGGCTAAAAAAATCCTCCCTACTGACTCTCTCAAGATAACCTCTTCAATTCCCATGAAATCCAGATCCCTTCTCTGTTCTATAAATATACTGTAAATGACTTGAATGAACAAAGACATGTTCATTAAAGCATAATTGCACCTTTTTGATAAAACATCTAACAAATTGTGCATACTGTATATGTATGTCCATGTACTTTGGAGCAGAAAAAGACTTTGATGGACAGGGAATGACAGCGATAGGCAGACAACCAAATATTTCTAAAGTAACATTAGGCCATATCAGTGAATTAAAAGTCATGCCCACTTTGATGAGTTCAGCCCATTTCCAAGCAGATGCAAAGATGCAAGGCTGGACCTTATTGGAAAGTTTGCCAGCTGTCAGATTATTCAAACCGGATGAATATTCTGCCTACTGAATGCACAATTATATGTTGTGATCATTACTTTCACAGGGCTACATTTAATTCAGTAAAGTATAATTTACAATAAAACCACTTGAAAATTATGATAGGAATTTGCTAAACTGTGACAGCTTACACAAGCACATTTGTCATATAAATAAGTAAGCCAAAAGGTTCTTACCAGCAAAAAGAGCCACATTGGTTTGTCTGGCGTCAAATGGGCACCTTGCCAAGCCACTAATTTCTTCCCCATCATATTCTAAAGAACTTAACTGCAAAAGTTAACCATGTAAAATTTAGCAACAACAGAAGTGAGTCCAAGAAGAAATAGAATTTGGCACGACAATATTTACATAGTGTTAAAATATAAAATAGATAGAAAAGGGGGGTATATGGCGCTATGAGTGTTGTGTGTATACTGATGATATAATGAGTTCAGCAAAAAGTCCATAAAACCTATTGGAACATCTGGGGCGACTTCTTGCTGGCCTCAGACACTTGATGCAGCACCTCCCTAGAGACTGAAGTAGCTCTGGGTGAACAAATAATTCTCTTCGGCAGCTATCTATGGGAATGTAGCCTTAATATAACATGTATTTTAAATTTTAAGATCAAGGGGGGGGGGGCACAATCTAAGTGTAATATAAAACATATTTATTGGAGTGAAAGACAAAACTGTTTGTGTAAGTTGCCAATTGTCTTTCACGCCGATAAACACGTTTTACAGTTGTGGCCAAAATTATTCAACCCCCACTGAAATTGAGTGTTTTGGCCAGTTTGACATTGCTTTTGATCCGTCTTGCTTACATTTACATTAAAGAGGCACTTGTAGGTCAGACAAATATAACATAACAGTTATAATGAAATAACCACAAATGTCTTTTCTGTGCTCACAGCATTATCAGTTTTATTCAACCCCCAAGTGACATTCAATCTTAGTACTTAGTACAGCATCCTTTTACAGTTATAACAGCTTTTAAACGTGAAGCATAGCTTGACACAAGTGTCTTGCAGCGATCTACGGGTATCTTCGCCCATTCTTCATGGGCAAAGGCCTCCAGTTCAGTCACATTCTTAGGCTTGCGCGCACTGCAAAATGCTTTCTTTAAGTCCCACCAGAGGTTCTCAATCGGATTTAAGTCTGGTGACTGCGATGGCCACTCCAAAATGTTCCAGCCTTTCCTCTGCAACCATGCTCTAGTGGACTTGGAGGTATGCTTGGGATCATTGTCCTGTTGAAAGGTCCAACGTCTCCCAAGCCTCAGGTGTGTGACGGACTGCATCACGTTTCCATCCAATATCTCCTGGTACTGAAGAGAATTCATGGTACCTTGCACACGCTGAAGCTTCCCTGTACCTGCAGAAGCAAAACAGCCCCAAAGCATGATTGACCCTCCACCATGCTTCACAGTAGGCAAGGTGTTCTTTTCATCATAGGCCTTGTTCTTCCTCCTCCAAACATAGCGTTGATCCATGGGCCCAAACAGTTCTAATTTTGTTTTTCATCAGTCCACAGAACACTATCCCACAACTTTTGTGGTTTGTCCACATGGCTTTTGGCATACTGCAGTCGACTCTTCTTATTCTTTGGAGACAGCAAGGGGGTACGCCTGGGAGTTCTGGCACGGAGGCCTTCATTACGCAGTGTGCGTCTTATTGTCTGGGCTGAAACTTCTGTACCCACATCTGACAAATCTTTTCTCAGTTCCTCAGCAGTCACACGGGGACTTCTCTCCACTCTACGCTTCAGGTAGCGCAAGCAGTCGAAGTCAGCATCTTCTTTCTGCCACGACCAGGTAGCGTTTCAACAGTGCCCTTTGCCTTGAATTTGCGAATGATGCTTCCTAAGGTGTCTCTTGGTATGTTTAACATCTTTGCAATCTTCTTATAGCCATTGCCCCTTCCTGTGAAGAGAAATCAACCATTCTCCTTGCCTTCACCATGTTTGTAACCACACCAGTAAATGTCTAGAAGGAGCTGAGTATCACAGTCATTTTAAAGCTGCCTAATTGGTGCTATTATGCTTGATTGCTGCTCGGTGACATCCACAGGTGTTTTTCAATACCTGATGGAAAGCACCTGTATGAACCTCTGTTCTTCAGAGTGGTAGTCTTTAAAGGGGTTGAATAATTGTGGCAATGAAGAAACCACATAAGAACCATTTACTACTGTATTACATAAACAATTGATGTCATTTTAGTTGCATTTGGGTAGTTACAACGTCCTTGTAGGATTGATTCTGAATACAATTCCAAATGTACACTATAGTCCCTAAACCCCTTTACAGCATTGGGGGTTGAATAATTTTGGACACAACTGTATATTATATTTAGATTGTGTCCCCTCCTCTCTCCATCTTAAAATATAAAATGTGTGTCATATTAAGGCTACATTCCCATAGGCGGCTGCCGAAATGAATCAGAGATTCTTGCCGGCAAAGCTACACGCTGCATGCACACAGCATGTGTGAACAGCAGTGGCAACTGTCAGATTTGTACTCCATACAAATCAGTGGCTGGCATGGCTGCTGTTCATTCAAACAGAGATTCTGACCAACCCTTTATGATGACAGAGTACAACGTTTCTGGTCAGTCAACTGCTAATCGGCTAGTTGTATGTGTATACCTGCCTCTGAATAAGGCAAACTATCTTTCCCAGGCACCCATGTTAAAGGAAAAGTAGGACCAAAGCTCTTTGGGCCCTACTTCTCCAGTGGGTATCAGGAATGCACCCAGTTCTGTACTCCTGTGACCCATAGTTTTGCCAACAGTGGGATACAGTCCGCTATCGGCTGATATCACTGAGCCATTCCAGACTCTAGAGGGATCCCTACTTTAATGTCGGAATCCACACAGATTCCTGAGTGGCAGCTAGCTCAGCCTCTCAGTGCACTGCTGAGAGCCTGAGCCAGCCACTCCCACCCCCTCTACAGCCCAGCACTCCAGTGAGCACTAGAGGGGCAGAGCTGTCACTCACCGGCTCTCTGCTCACTGAAGACTGAGAACTGAGTGATCAGTTGTCTTTGATCACCAAGTTCTCAGTCTTAGAGGCAGCAAGGTACAGATGCAGTGCCAGACCAATGCTGCAACCACCTAAATGGGTATGTATGTTTGTTATTTTGAAAACCCGCACTTCCCTTAACAGGGACTAACTGATACATACTATATACAGCCTATTATTGTAATATATGAAAATGCATTATCTATTTTGTATACACAGCATATATTTTTTTTTCATATACATATCTTTAATGTGGTAATTTTATAGTCAATTATTACAAGTCTACAAAGTAGATAAGAATATCTACTGAACACAGTAATGCACAGACTATCCCTAGTACTCAGCACAACTCGCCTACATCATTGTACCATAAGGCCTATCCTACACTGATAACAAAATCCTAGTAAACCCAAAAATAACCATGCAGTTCACACCTATATTGCAGGAGGCTGAAGTACTAAGAAGATAGTTAAGGAGACCATAGATGATATGGGTGGAAGGAGAGAAAAATTGCTATATTTCCCCACCAACACAGTCAGTGTTCCTTCCACTATGCTGTTGTGTTCTGCCAGTGGGGAGCCTTCCCTGCTGACAGAACACAATGATCACTGCAAGTGGCTATAGCATCCAGCAGTAATCGCATACAAAAAAAATCCAGCAGGCTGGTTGTGCTGAAGTCTGACGATAGATCGACTTCAGTACAACAAACCTGCCCATATATGGATCGAATCTCAGCCAGTCCCTGCTGAATGGGCCAAAAGTTGATCTGTCTATGGCTGGCTTTAGGGCTTCTGTTGCTTTGTAAACACACAGGTCCGTCAGAAGAATTCACTGTAAATAGCTTCACCTCTATTGCCCTAAAATAATAGATCTGCACTCTGTTAAGCACATAAAGTGTAATGTGTATTGGGGAACATGAAAGATGAAGAATAATCCCTTACCCTGTAATATCTGCACATGGGATTGAAGGCATTTGTACCACAGACAAAGACCATCTCATCATTTCTTGGAACAAAAACCTTGATGTAGTTATGGCATTCATCCTGAATCACAAATAAATGAAACGTTAGAAGTTTAAAGCTTCCCCTCTCTATCAACGTCATCTTTTGATGTCTAGCCTTCAATAGGTTAGTCTGGAAATACCTTGTGTTTGCCTTTCATTGCACAATTCTTACGGTCTGCTTGACCTGATCTCCACGTCAACTTCTGAAGAAGCAAAACAAGCAAAGAGAAATGTAAATGGAATTGTCTCCTCTCCTTGGCTTTTAAAAAGTCAAAATCCCATTTTTGACGGCACTCCTATAACAGGCTCACTTACTCTGCTTGGTGTAATTTCGGTCCTGTGCACTTCATTTAAATTTACGGCATAAACTTGATCTCTGTGGAAGACGAAAAAAAAAAAAAAACACACTTTAGGAAATGGAGAACAGGCCTGAGATTTATCCATGCATAGCATGGCAAGTGTGTTTTTAAGGCCCTTGACAGACAATGCATATGTTCTACAGTCCAGATGTATTTCTTTGTCTTGAGTGAAGGAGGTTACTGCTAGGTTATATTTTCCAGGTTTAAGAAGAGTATCGCTTTCATTGTCTTTTGCTTGTGACAGAGCAATCTAGGTTTCTTTCCATATGCTTTTACATGCGGGCCAATCGCTGTCTTAGTGAGTACTTGTTGAACAAACATCCATCTGCAGAGACTCTTTAATCATAGTTCTTATGCAGGTCTTTCCAACAAAAGGGATCATCAGGTTTTACCCAAGAGACAAATGGGCTTGGCTATAATATTTCACCATAACATTCATAAGAAAACAGAAACATGCTGCCTAATGTGCTAACTTTACAGAAACATTTCACAGTTTAATAAAAGGAATACAATTAGCACTAAATATTCACAATGAGCCTCATTTATGGAAACTGTAGAAAAGGAAAGCAATTACAACCAATCACGCCTAAACTGCTGTTTTTTATAGTCTACTACTGTCATTTATTTAGTGGTATGGTATAGAAGCGAATAAGGTCTTGCATTTTTAACAGTTCAAAAATACTGTTCGATTTAGGAAACAAGGGCAGAATATATATTAAGGGGGTGTCACCTGAAGAAGCAAGAACAAAGAAGTGTTAAAGTGGTACTAAAGGCAGAAGTTTTTTCACCTTAATAAAATGCATTAAAGTAAAAAACCTTCTGGGTACAGCTCACCCCTCATACTTATCTGAGCTCCATCTGGAACCAGAGATGTGCACAAGAGCTACAGCTCTCCCTCCCAATTGCCGGCTGCTGCTGCCAATCACAGCCAGTAACTCAATGAGAAGAGATCGGAAAGCTGGGCTGATCTATGCTATGTTTGTGAATGGACAATGTCCATTCACAGAAGCGTGGCATGGGAGCGAGCTTGCACGAGTGCCCTCATAGCAAGAGACTTACTACTGGGGGCACTCGGCAAAGAGGCGGAGCCAGGACCACCAGCGCGGGACCCAAAAAGAAGAGGATTGGGGCTGCTCTGCGCAAAACCATTGCACAAAGCAGGTAAGTATAACATGTTTGTTATTTTAAAAAAAAAAAAAAAATCAACCTTCAGAATCACTTTAATACATACTCAGTGATAGCAGGAGAATCATGTGTAAGACAGAAATGAATATTGCCAATCAACATCTAACAAACAACAAGGGGACACTCTACAACCAGCAACATAGATGCTACCCTGTGATGACCACGTCTAACATAAAGTGATGATGAAGAACCTTATGTGACAACTGAAATTGAAGCTTTGACTGGATGCCAAACATCCATATGTTTGAATCTGAACCATGAAGCCAGCTTATCAAGTATACAAGCACTTCAGAGTGGGGTAGGAAACCTTAACCACTTCCCATCTGGCCCATGTACATAAATGGCCAGACGGGAGCAGTGCAAGAGCAGGTGGCCATTTATAAATGGCCTCTGCATTCACTGCCTGTGCACGCTCCCTGGGAACACTGATCGCTGTATGGGACCTCTGTGTGAGGTCCCTATTGATGTGATCACTGATTGGCCAATCAGTGATCACAGGAACAGTAGTAAGCAAGATGTCACTTCCTGACATCATTGCTTACTATGTGTGAAATCTGTGAATGATCACAGAGGTCACATGGTACAAGGCTATTCACAACAGCCTTGTATCATTTAACAAACTGTGACCAATCACAGCTCACACAGTATTTCTCAGTGGCTGCAAGAACGCAGCCGGAGAGAGAGAGAGAAATTATTGCTTTTACAGCCTTTATGGATGTAAAAGCAATCAGTGTAAAAAAAGAAAAAAAAAAATCTTTATTACGCCCCACAAGTAGTACAGTGTCACTATGGTGATACTGTACTGCTAGGGTGACCGTATGTAAAAGAAACAAACAAACAAACAAACAAAAAAATAATAATAATATAAAAAAAAAAAAAAATTATTAAAAAAAATTTGTGAAAAAATGATAATTTTTGGTTATAAACTAATTTTGCTTATTTTTTTTACTAAAAAGATAGATGAATACATTTTGGCCAAGATTTATAAAGAAAGAATATTTATTTGCAAAATTTTATAAGAAAAACACTTTTTTTTTCAAAATGTTTGGACTTTTTTATTTATATAGCAAAAAAATAAAAATCCCAGTGGTGAATAAATACCACCAAAATAAAGTTTCATCTGTCTCAAAAAAATGCTAAAGAATTCATATGGGTACAGTGTTGCATGACCGCGCAATTGTCATTCAAAGTGTGACAGCACTGAAAGTCGAAAATTGGCCTGGACGGGAAAGGGGTGAAAGTTTCCGGACTTGAAGTGGTTAAAGAGGTGGAGATCTACCTTAACAACATGGGACAAGTCAGAGATCACCGGGCACAGTGTCACCTCTTCACACCCGATTTAGAGCTCTACTTGCCATACTATGTGTTGCAACTGCGTGCATTGCACAGCAATCATGGGTTTAAATCAGGTGGGGAGGAGGCAACATATCGCCTTGTCACGACCTGTCAAACACACTCAGATCCCTTTTCAGAGGAGCAGCTGTGCCTGCTGCACTTGTGAACAAGCCCTTAGTTGTATTCGGCAAGGGCACCTGCCAATCGCGACCCATTCAAGTATATGGGGCCACTCTGCAAGAGCCCCACAACTGCATGCATCTGCGGGGTCCAAGGAGTTAAAACAGGTGGTGAGAAAGCAACACAACGCTGCCTGCTTTAACTCATTGCTTGCTGTACTGCACAAGGTTGCAAAGAGGCCTCATTTACTTGAATAGGTTATACTTGGCAGGTGCTACACACCCACCAACCATGACAGGGCGTATAACTCCTGCTGCGACATGTGTGCACCCCTAGCCACTGCAGCTAAAGGGGATGCGATTGAGGTGGGGTTGGTAAAAACTCGTCTTAAGTATGGGGTTTCACCACCCCCCAAACTGCAAATGTAAATGAACTCTTAATGTTCTAAACCCCCTATAAGTCTGCTCTGACACGGCTGTGCTGCGATTTATCAGCATCTGCGACTTTCCTGGGTTAGCTGCGCTTTTCCATAGAATTCTGTTTGAAGCAGATGTAGTACACGTTCATAAAGTGCACTAAGACTCCTGCATTGAGGCGTTTTGGTACACTTTCAGCAAGTGCACCTATCCCACCGGATATAATAGAAGTCTATGGCTAAGCACAGTTGCAAAAACAAAATTGCACAGTGTGGGTTAACCGCAGCACACCAGTGTGAAAGCAGCCCTATACTATCATGCCACACTGACCTGAAGACCTCTCCTTTCCTGCTGCTGGCACCACTCTGGAGACCTCTAGCTGGGATCAGAGGTGGAGTGCAGTTGGCATCACTCCGCATGGGACAGGAGCCAGCACTACGGAGGAGGCATCGGCTTATGCGGCTCTTACTACAGCTCCAACTTTACAAGCAGTCCCTCTGCATTGCACTCTGATGCTCCGGGATAGTGGGTCAGCAAGGCCAGATGGGATTTAGCAGTCATCTGGCTGGGATGTACAGGTTCTCACCTCCGTCTAGAGTATGGTACATGTCAATGCATTACCTTTAATCATAGTTAGTCACGGGTAATCTGGACAAGGACACACATCCATCCAGTTCAACCCACAGACCAAAAAATATAAGAGGGGGGGCTGGATGTGCTGAAAATTGTGCATTATACACAATGCAAGTGCACTAAATTATGTTGGATGGTATTCAAAATAAGAAAATAATTGTCATGTACTGTACTGTGGTACATACATTGCCATGTGCTCACCATAAAGCATGGCAGCTTGCACATTTTAATACTGATTACTACAAAAGCACCAGTATGTACTGGCTCAAAATGCCCAACTAGCAATTTCCATCAGCTGGAAATCTCTCGGATTATGTTCTCTGGGCTACTATAGATTTTCTTCTGTAGCAAATACATTACACGTCTATGCAGCTACAAATTGCTAGTGTGTTATGATCACTAGCAGCTGCACAGGTAGCAAATGAAAGTGCACACACTGCAAAAAGTCAATTGTCAGTAACAGAGTTATAAAATGCTGAAATTGCTAGAACATAGACCTTTCATTAACTGTAACTGAATTTTTTTTTTCTAGTAAAAAAAAAATAAAATATCAATTCTGTAGCTGCTATACAATCACTTCTGTGGCATAGCCCTTGGAAACAAGAAAGAACATTCATTAAATGCTAAAAATGAAAACGTTTTATGCTGCCCCAGAGCACAACAACTCCCTAGGCATATGGCAAATTTTCAATATGATATAGACCTGACTGTAGTAATTCCTGTTTATTCATGCCGTTGTTGCATGTTTTATTAGAGCTTCTTACGCAGTAACTAAAAGAGTTACGATCCATAGAAATATTTTCCCTTTCTTGTCATTCGTGTGATAAGCTTTGTTTCGTAGAAGCCAGCGAGGCAGGCTGGAACACACTGTATCACATGGCAGCTCAGTGTGACTTGGTAGATCTTTATTACCATTCCATTACTTTCTAAGCATGAAACACAAAATGCTGATAGAGATCACTGTTTTCATTTAAACAGAAGATTTTTCATGTGTGCCAAAAACGAATTGCTAGAATAAAAATACAAGTCCAATTTAAATAAAGAGATTAAAGGAAATTACCTTCCAGCAACATAAAGTGTGTCTCGAATTTTTAACATCAGTTGAAAGTCCAAGCTGTGCTGTGATTCATTGCCTGAAGGGCGTCCTCTAAATACTGGATATTGCCTTGAATCTGCAAGTTAAAATGGGATACACCATCACTTTGGATTACACAGCTCAAGAATCAATGTACAGGATTGATTAGCTGTATATACCAGGTGTAGAAGGGTTTGAACTAATCCCTGTCGCAGAGTCTTGAATATAAATGAATAAAATATGACCAATGTCAGCAAATGTGACTTACTTCCCTCTGAAATGACATATGCTCTACTAAGACATCAACCTTAAGTAACTCTAGGGCTAACATATATGAAACTAAATGATCCCTTTTATAGGCTTAAGGGCATTACACTTAATATTAGGTTTCCCATGGCAATCGGCAATGGCATGACATGCAAGAACCCACAGCAACCAATCAGAAAACAACTTGTATTCTAATATTGTTTACTTGTGCAGACAACTAACACATTTTAACATTTAGGCATTTACTTACAGTGGTAATCTATAAAGTTGATAGGTTCATCGTCTTCAGGAAAACTAACTGCATAGACCAAAGACACCATTACCAGCACTTTGCCGGCAAGAAGCCCATAGAGCCTCATGGTTCATTAAATGGATGGCTCCTCAAGTTTTTTCAAGAAGTGATATCACCTACAAAAAGGAAGACAATATTCATAAATGATCTCTGCTTTTAACTTGCAATGTTTAATACCCCAAACATGTATTCTCTCATAATACCAATATGCTACATTTATTTGTAGGTTTAAGTGCAATTGGATAAGAAACATAGGGGGTCTTCAGCAAGTTCATTCTACTGCAAATCAAAACAACAATATAGAACATAAATTTTCTCATTCATTTTCTTTCTCTTTTTCTCCAATCAATGAGGGTTAGGTTCCATATTAGGTCAGATAACAGGTAAACCATACAGGTTATACATATTTTTTAAATTTGCTCCATACTCAGGGTTCATCTCCTAAAAGGAATGTAAAGCCTTCACTCTTTAAAACAAGGGCATCTTGGCTTTCAAGAGATCTACTACATGAAAGGGTCTTGGTCGTCCCCTTTGTCCTGCTGAGCAATGGTCAAATGTTCTTTTGTTAAAATGGCCCCAAAGCAAGTAAGAAAAATCACATTACCAAAGAAAATATTTTGGGCATTACTTTCACATCTAAAATGTATTCATGATGGAGCCTTTGAAAAAACCTAGTACTAGGAGGAACTCATGACCTTCTCCCCTTCCTCCTTTGTGCTTGGGTACATGATCTCCAGACTTGGGAACTCTCATGAGGTTCTAAGCTCTGATACAGTCCATGAGAAGCTTACACAGGGCTTTCTACTTGGGGCTTTGGTCGGAGGGGGAGAGTTGTCAGACAGCGGGGCGGCATTGGAAAATACGTATTGGTAGCTGAGGTGGTGGGCTATAAAGAGAACCTGTTTCTGTGATCTAAATATACAAAGTGATAAGTTCGTTTAAGCAAGAACTCTTGTAAGCACTAAGTGCAAACACGGCCTTTCAGCATAAACTTCTCTAGACTGTCTGTACAGGTGGCTCATACAATGAGCAGGGCATCACTCAATCCACTAAACTGCTGTTTGTTGTCAGCCCACAATAGAAAATTAAGAGTCAAGTGCATATCAAGCAGACCATCAATTACTCTTCTGCACGTAAAGGGTCATTAAAGGGATTAAAACACAGGGACCTGTACATGTATAGCATATGGGTTGTCTGATTTAGCCTCAACATATGATTTTAATTTGTTCCCTGCATGACACGACATATGCAGACAAGCTGCAGGCACTTATTGCTGCCTGCATAGAATACACCATACATGATCTTGAACATTCCAGTGGCAAACCTAGATCTCCCAGTGGGACTGGAAAGTATGGAACCTTTTACCTCGATGTATGCTTATAATACCAAATATTCTCTTGCATGGATCAAATTGTATTCTAGTGAGATTTCGTGCTGAAATGTCATCAGATCTGGAATGCTCACAGTAAAGACTTTACAAATTGTTTGTTTTATTCAGAAAGACATTTAATACACACGCATGTGGGACTGCACGAAAGGTACACATTGGAACCTCTCTACATGCTGGGGATTATTCTACAACAAATCCACAGAGCCAATAATTGTAATATACAGTAAAATAAATAAATAAATAAATAAATAAAACCTTCAGTTTGAAAGCAATGGGGAAAAAAAAATTGCCTGGTGCGCTGCAAGGCTGTTATAAAAAGGGATTTAGGAGGAATAGCACGTTTGCACAAGCGTTGCCTGTTATTTTCGCAGTTCGGCTCGCTGGGAAAGGCATTATTTGAAATGCACAGATATCACCTTCACTGTTGAAAGAAGACAAATGATGTTTTGTCACTTGTCAATTTTAACCGCTAATTTATCAGTACTCTCCCTGTGGATTTATCTACAATAACAATTCATGTTACACGGGCGGCTGGGTTAAATGTTATTTGTTACAAATTCATGTACGATTCTGTCATTTCCATTACTTTATTGAAATATGGGCTTATCTTATTAAAGTGGCATAAAAATGAATTTTTCAACTTGAAAATGAAATTCTTGTTTAGTTAAAAGAAATGTGCACAGCCTCTCCATGGGTTCGACACTTGCCAGAGGTGTTCAGGGGACGGTGAACACAAACAGAGATCATGGTGAACACATCCATTTATGCAAGACTGTAGGATTGACTTACTAGAGGAAAATAGGCCTTTGCTTATTATTATACAGGATTTATATAGCACCAACAGTTTGCTCAGCACTTTACAATATAACTGGAGACAATACAGCAACTATACAGTTCAATACAAGAGGGATAGGAGGGCCCTGCTCCTTGGAGCTTACAATCTAAGACTTTACTTTGCAAAGGAATTTTCCATTAGCTTAATAAATGAGGTGAAGTTCTACTGACTTCTACCAACCAATCATGGGCAAGCCAAAGAAGTTTTTTTTTTTGTTTTGTTTTTTTTTTTACATTTTCCTTGCATATGATCGGGTATTGTTTCCAAAGTTAATTTTCACCACATTCACAAAGCTAAGGGAAAATTACCTAGTGAAGTGAAAATTCCCCTGCAAAGTTAACAGCCTGTTTACCATAAATAAATCAACCCGAGCGTCAGTGATCAATACTAGCAATATTCTTATAAGATCAAGGCATAGCCACGATTGCTTAATGAATAATGCAGCACCTAAATAATCATTAAAGCTGAACCTCAGGCAAAACAACATAATGTTGAAATACACATATATTTGAACTGTAAGCTGTAAATATCCCACTGCTCCAAAAATATATCATTTGGTCACTCAGCTTTAGTTATCACCATAGCTCACTCCAGCCTCGTATAGAAGAAAGAAAGAAAGAAAGAAAGAAAGAAAGAAAGAAAGAAAGAAAGAAAGCTGTAGCCCTAACTACTGACCACCATGTACTTTATTCCATCATTGGATCAATAGGCAAACCTCCTGCTGATGCAATTTTTTTCCTTCCAATGATGGAATAAAGTACATGACAGCAAGGAGCTGAGAATCTTCACACAATACATTTTGTAAATAGTATTTTCAATTATCCACTCATGATTGGATCATTAAAGTAAATATTTACACTAACAAACTAAAAAAAATCCCAGCGCCAATCAAAGAAAGTATACAATTATGCAGCTGTGCACCAGTGAAAACCACCAATAATAAATAACACAAAAAACAGCGCAAAAATTAAATAAATAAAAATAATCACAAATAAATAAATGTCCATGCAAAAATATATATATAATATTTCAAACATAAGTCCTTATTTTCCCAAAAGGATTTTCAAAACAATGTTCCAAAATGTGCTTCCACCTAATCACCACGTGTAAAATAATATTGACCGCACTCACCAGATGGAGGTGAGTAATAAGCCTCATAGGATATAAGGGATCCTATAGCCCCTCAGGAGGAACTCAAATCGCCTTCTTCACCCTGCTTAGATACAGCAATCGACTCCACTCTCCTTCTCCATGGAATCCTCAATAGTGTGCAAGGAAAGAAAGGCTACATAGTGTAATACTGCCACTCAATACCATATAAATCCATAGAATAAGGACACTCACATGTTTCAATAAAATAACAGGCCTTGTTTAATAGCCTCAAAGGCTTCAAAGGAACAAGTTTCCAAATTGTAAATATAGGGATCTCACGCTTAAAGGATCACTGTAGAGGATGACCAGCTTTCCACCTCAAAAATGGCTGCTTGAACCGCAAAAGTCGGCATGCCTTCCAAATACCGGAAGTGACGTAGGCCAAGAAGACGGCAGACCGGAAGTGCGTCAACGCGTTTCGTCCCATCCCCAGGGCGGGGCGCCCTGTGAAAACGCCCTGTGGGTGGGGAGAAACGCATTGACGCACTATGTAGCCTTTCTTTCCTTGCACATTATTGAGGATTCCATGGAGAAGGAGAGTGGAGTCGATTGCTGTATCTAAGCAGGGTGAAGAAGGCGATTTGAGTTCCTCCTGAGGGGCTATAGGATCCCTTATATCCTATGAGGCTTATTACTCACCTCCATCTGGTGAGTGCGGTCAATATTATTTTACACGTGGTGATTAGGTGGAAGCACATTTTGGAACATTGTTTTGAAAATCCTTTTGGGAAAAAAATAAGGACTTGTGTTTGAAATATTATATATATATTTTTTTGCACGGACATTTAAATATTTACACTATTTATTGTGTAAAGATTCTCAAAGCACATAAACATTCATCACAAAGCACTGAAAATGCATGTGAGTTGATATGCATTTAACCTCCTGCTGACCACTTAATGCATATATGTACCGGCGAGAAAAGTGGGCTTTAAACACCAAAATCACTGGGGTGTGGGGGTTGTAAAGTGATTGGCCCTGGGTGCTAGATAGGTTAGGCACACCACTGTCTGGAACTTCTACGTTTCAGTGCCGAACATTCAGCAAACCGTATAAAAAAGTTTTAACAAATCCTGCAGCAGCCAGAAAAGGAAAACACTTCTTATTTGTACTGTGCAAATATACATTGTTTTTTCTCATACTTCTGCTTTAAATGTGTATTTGTTTTTAAAAAAAAAAAAAAGGAAAAAAAAACTTGACATGAACTATTATATTTTCCCTTTAATGTTCTCTCCTAGATTGTAAGCTCTATCGAGCAGGGCCCTCTGTTTTCTCTTGTACCAAATTGTATTGTAATCGTTTTATGTCTATGTTCATTTTGTAAAGTGCTGCGCAAACTGTTGGCGCTATATAAATCCTGTAGAATAATAATAATAATCCCACTGTTCATTCACACATGCGTGTAGTGTATTTGCTCTCAGCCTCTACTGTACTCGTATAACACGTCCTGACTAGCAGTACTACGTGCTGGGTGAACCGTAAATTGCGGCTGGTTAGTTCACAAATGGACAGCAATTTTTTCTCTCAACTATGATCACTATAGAGTCATAACTCTACACAGAGCACACCAGACTATTCTAATTTACTACATAGACGTGCTGAACCTAAATCAAAACACCTATAAAAACATGAACTGCTACAGAAAACAAAATAATAAAATGTACCGCTAGACAGTCATGATGGCAGCGTG